AGAGCTAGGATTACAGGCGTGAGCCACCGCGCTCAGCCTATTCATTTTCTTTACAATGTTTTTTTGATGAAAAGTTTTTTGTTAAAAAAGAGAGATGGGGTCTTGCCACTCTGTCACCCAAAGCTAGAGAGCAATGGCATCACCGTAGCTCACTGCAGCCTCCAACTCCTGGGCTCAAGGGCTCCTCCCCCCTCAACCTCTGAACCAACCAGTTTGTGGTATTCCTCCCCAACTCAGTCCTACTGTGCTTAGGAAAGTGCAAGAATAAGGTATTTAAACTATCCTTATGCTACACAAATGATAAAAGAAACACAAGACCCCAATAAACAGACATATATATTTCAAAAGAAGAAAAGAAAGGGCAAATGAGTAGAAAAACTATAATCTGCAATGAAAGAAAAATAACTCAAAACAGTTAAGAAACCACTTTTTCATTTGTAAATTTAAGGGGGAGAACTAGTATTACTTAATAGTATTGGATATTAAAATGAGTGTTCATTCAGTGCTGGATAAACCAGACTGGTACTAGTTGGCAATATATTAAGAGCCTTAAAAGTATTCATAACTTTTAATTCAGTAGTTTCACTTACAGGAATCTTGACTGAGGAAAAACAATCAAAATGTGCATAAAACTATACTGCCATATAATAATGACAAAATATGGGGGGGAACATACCCCAAAAGTTGATCATTAAACCCATATAAAACAATGCTATACATTTATGTAAATAATACCTACGAAATTCATAGTGACATTAGGAACATGTTACTAGTTTTTCTTAAAGCAGAGTATAAAATTTTATACATTATATGACCACCTTTTATAAGAAAAAAATGCACAGAAAAAAGACCAGAAGGAGATATACCCAAATGATACTGGTGGTTAATTTTTACTAAAGGGATTTAAGGGAATTTTTTTTTGCCACTTCTCACACTTCGATACATTCAGAGTTCTCTACAATGAGCGTCTATTAAATGGATAGCAAAAGAAAGAAAAAAAAGAACAGTTCTGATTAGAGATGAAGAACTGAACACACACATTTATCTACATTTACTCCTAAAAAATTAAGAACAAAGTTTTTGGGTTTTTTGTAAGGCACAAATTCCTAAGGCCAAATACAATGGAAGAGATTAACAGAAACAAAATTTTCAAACTAAAAAGCAGATGACAATGAGGAAAACTGAGAGCAACCCAATTTACATCACACAACTCCTACAAGGCTTAGGAATCATCACAAGTACCTCTGCAAATAGGAGTAGAGGTGGGCCCAAAGCAGGAAGGCTGGTTGGAAGTCTGTATAGGCACAGTTAGACCTTGGGGCGTCCCCTCCTGCACTCTGCTCAGCCAGGTGACCCTTCACCCCAGCAGCAGACTAGAGGTTTATTTTCTGGAGAGGACGAAACAGAGGCACTCTTAACAAGGTGGGCATGGAGGAAGACAGGGACAGAACAATAAGCATGTGACTAAAAACCAGGGGAGTGGATTAAGTCAAAGTCTACTGAGACTCCAGCCCTTTTCTCCCTGCCAACTTCCAGACCACCCTATAGTGAAGACCACAAGTGCCATGGCTGCCCACCCAGGTCACCTTCCAAACAGCCTTTTGGTGTCCCACTCTTTAATATGAGCAGAAGCCAAGAATATAAAAACCATTTAAAATAAAACACGAAAGTAACAGAAAAGTTGGAAGACAAAGTCGAGGAAATCCCCCACAAAAAAACAGAACACAATGCAAGAAGGAAAAGAAAACTATAGGACAAGTCCAGGATGGAAGATTGATTATCCTATCTGGATAACAGACATTCTAGAAGGGAGGAAAATCATCATCAGAATAATTCAGGGAAAGTCCCCAGAACTCAAGGACATGAGTTTCCAGATTGAAAAGGTTATCAAGTACCCAGTACAGTAGATGAAAAGAGATCTACAGTGAAGTACAACCCTACGAAATTTCTGAACACTGAGGTCAAAGAGAAGATCTACAAAGCTTCGAAGAAGAAAAAAAAAATCTTTCACATAAAGGATCAAGAATCAGAATAGCATCCAGCTTCTCTACAGGACACTAACATTGAAAAGACTAAGGGGCAATGCCTCAAAATTGTGAAGGAAAATAATTTCCAACCTAGTCAGACTGGTACAATGTGGGGAAAAAGGACTTGTTCTAGTACTTAAGGTCTCCACTTACTCCCACTCATCTCTTCTCAGGAAGCTACGGCAAGAGGCACACCAATAAACTGAAGAACAAGACAAAACAGGGGAAGACAGGGATTCAGGTACAGAAGAGAAAGGAATCTTCAGGATTTCCTCCTCAGGATTCAAGGAAGGTTTCAGAACAATAGCTGTGAGCAGTCCTGGAACCAGCAGTCTAGGCTTGGGAAGAAGTGTCTTCAAGAGAATGAAACATATGCAATACCTGATGTGCCTGTACCTGTTGAAAGGAGATTTACACAACCAGGGAAGTGTATGGGGATGAATAGTGCATAACAAACCAAATGACAAAAAAAGGACAACTATTCATTGTAAGAGAAAAGAATACCAGACATGAAAGAAAAGTCATCATATTCAATTAGATGACTCAAGCTCTCAAAATCATTTACACAGTCACAACAGTAAACAGAAATATAAACATGTTATTTAGAAACATGGAGGTGAGTACCAAAAGAAATCAGCTAAAATAACTGAAAAGGATTATCTCTGAGGAACAGGAAAGAGAAGTGCGTAGGAGGCTAGTTTTTTTCAACCCGCCAAAGCATGTACATATATATCTCTGATAGAACACGGGATTTAAAATTTCTAGGAACGTGCCTTACTGGATCAGATGTATCCACAAAAGAAATTAAAAACCAAACCAAAACAAAAAACCCTCCAAAACCTTACAAACCGACCACCCTACAAATACCCTACAAAAAGACAGCAGCTCCCAGTGCCTTCTGCTCACCTAGATGTACTCTTCCAATAATCTTCTGGGTGCCCACTCCTTTGGCAATTCCTGCCCACCGACGGTCCACCAGTCTCATTATATTACACCTTTCTGCACAAGCTTGGCTCATAATAGTCATCTGGGCACCTGGAGAGAGAGAGAAACATCAGATAATAAAAACAAAATCCACCCTTGTGGCAAGACTCAAAATACAGCAATGATAATAAGGCAAAAAGTTAGGTATTAACATATGCCTAGGCTTTTACCTCTGTAAAATCACTCCTACCTAGCAAGTGTCCTGCTCACTTACTCAATTTTCAGTTACACAATGGAATCTGAAACATACTATGGAAACTTGACATTGAGGGCAAGAGTATTTTGTTGCAATGTAATAATTAAGTGATAAAGTTTTACCAGTAAATGCAAAACTACCTGCAAAGACCTCCTAAAAGTTCAAATGATGGCCACCACCTCTAGATGGCAATGCTAAATTAAGCACTACTTTACACTCAGCAGTTTATACTCAGTATCTCCAAGCATTTTGTCAAGTTATTTTTACTTCAAACTTTGGGACACGATAGTTTACTAGTTAAAAAATACATATCCTGACCAGGTGCGGTGGCTCACGCCCACAATCCTACCACTTTGGGAGGCCAAGGTGGGAGGACTGCTTGAGGCCAGGAGTTCAAGAGCAGCCTATGCAATAGTGAGACCCTGTCTCTATATAAAATTTAAAAAAAAAATTAGCCAGGCATAGTGGTGTACGCCTGTAGTCCCAGCTACTCACTACTTGGGAGACTGAGCCAGGTGTCTCCCAAACAATTAGGGGGGAACTCCCCATGTTCTGCTCCAACAGACCCTCTTCTCTTTAAAGATAAGGGCATTTCAGCTATTTTCTCTCCCAGTTACATATACTCAGCTAAAGTCAGCCTGTGTAGAAGACAGACACCTTCACTCACAGTCCTAATTTCTCTCTCAAACCCTAGTTCCACATTACTGTGTACTAGACATTTCTACCTCAAAGCCAACAGATATAAAGCTCTTTCTCCCCAAGTAATTCTCGCTTTGGATTTCTCTACCTTTGTCAATGGAATTATTTTCTCGCAGCCATAAAACCTGGCATGGGGCTGGGCGCGGTGGCTCACGCCTGTAATCCTAGCTCTCTGGGAGACCGAGGCGGACGGATTGTTTGAGCTCAGGAGTTCGAAACCAGCCTGAGCAAGAGAGAGACCCCGTCTCTACTAAAAAAAATAGAAAGAAATTAAAAGGACAACTAAAAATATATATAGAAAAAATTAGCCGGGCATGGTGGCGCATGTCTGTAGTCCTAGCGACTCTGGAGGCTGAGGCAGTAGGATTGCTTGAGCCCAGGAGTTTGAGGTTGCTGTGAGCTAGGCTGACGCCACAGCACTCTAGCCCGGGCAACACAGTGAGATTCTGTCTCAAAAAAAAAACAAACCTGGCATGGTTCACTTTTGACAACTCTTCTAGCCTTCCCTCTGCTCTCAAACTGTCCCAAACCCCGAAACCTGTAAATAAGCTCTACGCAATTTCTGCTATTTCTGACCCTCTTTCTACCATAACAATCAGCCTCGCTCGTACCCTGTTCCCTAGCAAGTGAAAAATTTCTCTGGCTTCCAAACCACTTTGTGGATGTATAATTTAAAGCAAGGAAATAAATAGTTCTGACCCTGAGGGGGACAGAATTCTCCAGATCTGTGTCTGCCTTCAGTTTTCCTAAAATATACTTTCTTCAAATCACTTCATCTGTTCAAAAGTCCTCAATGGTTTCCACTCTGTAAGATCAGTTTCAAACCACCATCACCACAGCTTCAGACTCCACCTCATCCTGGCCCCACTGTTTCTTTCTAGCCTTATATTCTTACTACTTTAACCCCTTCACTTTAGCAGGAAGAATGTGCCCCCTCTGCCCCTTATTCACTGTGACCCTCCTGTAAAGTGGCCCCTCCCCTGCTTTTACTTTCTCTGAATTCCACTGATGCTTTTTTTTTTTTCTTCTTTTGAGACAGAGTCCGGTTCTGTTGCCCTGGCTAGAGTGCCATGGCGTCAGCCTAGCTCACAGCAACCTCAAACTCCTGGGCTCAAGCGATCCTCCTGCCTCAGCCTCCCGAGTAGCTGGCACTACAGGCATGTGCCACCATGCCTGGCTAATTTTTTCTATATATATATTTTTAGTTGTCCAAATCACTTCTTTCTATTTTTAGTAGAGATGGGGTCTCGCTCTTGCTCAGGCTGGTCTCGAACTCCTGACCTTGAGCGAACTCCTGACCTTGAGCGACTCCTGACCTTGAGCGATCCAGCGGCCTCAGCCTCCCAGCGTGCTAGGATTATAGGCGTGAGCCACCGTGCCTGGCCTCCACTGATGGTTTAAGGCCCAGCTTGAGACCCATCTCCTCCCCAACTGACCACCCTTTCCCAATGACCTTGCCTCTCATTCAATGCCAGCACTTCCTGTTCTTTATTACTCATTAGATATTCTACATTTTGGGGGCACTGCAAGCTCTTGGCGTTTTTACTTTTAAAAAAAAATTTTTTAGAGACAGGTCTCTCTGTGTTGCCCAGGCTGGAGTGCAGTGGCATCATCATAGCTCACTGCAACCTCAAACTCCGGGGCTCAAGCGATCCTCCTGCCTCAGCCTCCCAAGTAGCTGAGAATACAGGTGTGTCTCACCATGCCCAGCTAATTTTTCTATTTTTTGTAGAGAAAGGGTCTCACTATGTTGCTCGTGCTGGTCTTGAACTCCTAGCTTCAAGGGATCCTCCTGTCTTGGCCTCCCAAAGTGCTGGGATTACAGTTGTGAGCCACTGCAGCCAGCCACTCTTGGCATTTGAAGGTTAGATTCAAGAAGGCCCAGAGACAATGAAGGAAAAGGAAATGCGGGAAAGCAATTCTGTCTTTGTTTCTTCTCTCCTCACATTAATCCACAAAGCTAGTTATTGATGTAATTAAGCAACTCAGGATGAGAAGGGCCCCTTTCTCCTGCTCTCTTGCCTTTTCGCAAGCCTCAGAACAAAGCCCCAAATTCTCTGCCAAGGGAAGCAACTCAGTTCAAATGTCCCATTTTGAGACAACACTCGTGAACACCCTAGTCAGAGTGGGAAACGTGGTCTTTATGTCTATCCAACATTCACCTGATTTTTGCACAGTGGTTAAGAGTTCTGGAATCAAGCAGATCTGGGGCTGAATCCAGGTCCACCACTCACAAACCCTGTATACCTGAAAGTGACTTCACCTCTCTACATCTAAGTTTATGTGTAAAAAAGAGATTGTAGAGAGTGACCTCTCTACATCCAAGTTTCCTTATGTGTAAAATAGGAATAATAAAGCTCACAGAGATGTTCTGAGGATGAAATAGAATTGAGTGACATGATAGATATTAACCACTTAGCATGGTGCTTGGCACACAGTAAGGGAACAATATTTGAGTGTTACATAGGGTCTCGTATGTATTTGTCTCTCTCACTCATACAGGAGCTCTCTGAAGCTCTAGTTAGTTAATTCTCACTGACAAGCCCCCAGCACAAGGCCCTGAGCACAGCATTCAATAGACTTTTTTTTTTTTAATAAGACAGGGTCTTGCTATGTTGCCCTGGCTGAAATGCAGTGGTTATTCACAGGCACAATCATTCACATTGCAGCCTTGAACTCCTGGGCTCAAACGATCCTCCCACCTCAGCCTCCTGAGTATCTGGAAGTACAGGTGCACACCACTGCACCTGGCTTCAGTAGATATTTTTTAAACTGAATAATTAGCAGATTTACTTCTCCCAGAAATATTTGTATCTTAAGACACAATCACTTGGCCGGGCGCGGTGGCTCACGCCTGTAATCCTAGCACTCTGGGAGGCCGAGGCGGGTGGATTGGTCAAGGTCAGGAGTTTGAGACCAGCCTGAGCAAGAGCGAGACCCCATCTCTACTAAAAATAGAAAGAAATTATTTGGACAACTAAAAATCTATATAGAAAAAATTAGCCAGGCATGGTGGCGCATATTTGAAGTCCCAGCTACTCGCAAGACTGAGGCAGTAGGATTGCTTGAGCCCAGGAGTCTCAGGTTGCTGTGAGCTAGGCTGACGCCACGGCACTCTAGTCCGGGCAACAGAGTGAGACTCTGTCTCAACAACAACAACAAAAAAAGATACAATCGCTTAACGAGTTGAAACTTAGCATGTGTTCAAGTATTCGTGAATGAACAAATAGAGGAAAAAATTATTTGAGCAGGGGATTTATCTGCTTTATGAACTCACCTATCCTACCACCTTGAGTGAGATACCCAGAATTAAGACATATGTGAGACCACTCAGTCATATACTCACAATGTGCTACATGGTGTGGTCTTACTAAAAAGCAAAGAGTTGTTATTCAGAGAAAAGGTGCCAATTAGTACAAGGACTACCTGACTCCGCAAGTGGGAAACTCTCTCCTTACCTGACTACTAAGGCAAGAATCATGCCCAGTACTAAAAAGTTTTACACTCCTCACAGATCCTGGCAAAGTGCTGGCACAAAAACTAGTGTGAACTATGTGTGACCTATACTCTACATAGCTGCTTCTTCTAAACCTATTTAATCCCAATTTCTTACCAGAAGTATCTGAGAAATTCAGGATACTAAATAAGGGGAGCTAAGAAGATAAAAGAGACACTACAAAATACAAAACTGGTTAAAAAAACGATTAAAGAAATAAACCTATTACTAATAAGAGGATTGTCAAGAGAAATAGTAACTCCTAGGCTTGTTAAGTTAGCGGTCCAAAGGAGCACGGCCATCTGAACAGACACTCAATCTCCCTTTCTCCCATGTCAGGTCGGCATGTCAGAGCAGGAGGCCGAAATAATAAAAAACGGAGACGTCACCTGAGTCAACAAAGGCTTTCACAGGATGTCCATTCACTTTGCAGTTTATATAAAGCATCACTACTTGGCCAAAACTTTCTGGAGCCTCTTCCATAGCTATCGTCATGTTTTCCTCGATGTTTTGTTGCCTGTAAGAGACCAAGATCAGGGACACTGAAAACATTACTTCCATGAAGAGTTTCAAAGTCACAATATTAAAAATGTGTACATATCTTTTGCCCCAACTATAGCACCTGAGTCATGGAAATGGAAATTGGTGTCCTGTCCTGCAATAGGTGATTTATTAGGAGGTAGTGAGATACACAGCTGGCAAAAAATCTAAAGGCATAAAAACTACCTAATATAAAATAATTATGCTCCGTTTATAAGCTTAGAAATGAGAAAACAAACTGTAGAGCAAGGGTCATACCCTTTTTATCCTGTAGAATGTTACAATTTTGTAAATGTAACTTTAACTGAGGATTTACTGGGTATATACTGTGTACATTTCCCATGCCTAGTGCCTCAAAAAAATGTTTGCAGGGGCTGGGCACGGTGGCTCACGCCTGTAATCCTAGCACTCTGGGAGGCCAAGGTGGGAGGACTGCTTGAAGTCAAGAGTTGGAGACCAGCCTGAGCAAGAGCGAGACGCCGTCTCTACTAAAAATAGAAAAATTAGCCAGGCGTGGTGGCGCATGCCTGTAGTCCCCACTACTAGGGAGGCTGAAGCAGGAGGACTGCTTAAGCCCAGGAGTTTGAGGTTGCTGTGAGCTAGGCTGATGCCACAACACTCTAGCTCAGGCAACAGAGCGAGACTGTCTCAAAAAAAAAAAAAATGTCTGCAAACTGCGTACACAGACATTTCAACTACTCATGCTGTACATGCTGCTTCTCCAGGATTGGGTTTTCTAACATGTAAAATGAGGATAATAATTCCTATCACATGGCTGTCAAGAGGTATAAAGCATCTATTATACAGTGCTAACATGAGAACAGATGCTCAGAAAAATGCATCTATCACTTAAAACTACATACATATGAATCATAATTCACTTGGCCTATGAAATAATCTCTTCAAAAAATTCAACATATCTAATTCTTAAATCAGAGATAAGCATATAAAAGAGAGTTCTTGCTTACGCCAACATTTCATGTCTTCATTTCCAGTCTCCTTTTAAAAACATTACCAAACACTACCAACATTAATGTGTAAACTAGGTCAGCAGCTGGGCAACTTACCTAAGGACAGAAACAACAACAGAACAGGATCCAAGATATGGGGTAAAATACATTGTAAACAACTTGCAGCCTGTTGTTTGGGTAAATAAATTTTTATGGGAAACCAGTGACACCATGCATTTACATATCGTTTGTGGTAGCTTTCATACAGCAGTGACTGAGTTGAACATGAGCAATAGAGATTGTATAGCCTGCAAGCCTAAAATACTTACTCTCTGGCCTTTTACTGAAAAAGTCTGCTGACTACTGCTCTAAACTACAGTGTCTGTCCTTGTTGTAACAATACCCAACTCAACTGACTGAATGCTTTACCAACCATTCCATAATAAAATATTAAACTTCTCAGAAAGTCAAAAGCACCTTCATTTAATTTAGTTAGGCAAATATGCAAGCTTTTATACCTCAGCGCAGACGTACCCTGTGCAAATCACTGGTATAGCAAGCCAAATGAATCTTTAATAGGCATTTGATATAATTATACAGGGTTTTATCCTACTGCACATTATTACATTTAGAAATAACCTAAAATTAATTGTGTATCCAATCTTGCATTCCCTCCAACCCAAAAAACTTTCAACAAAATATCCTCTGAGGTAACACCAGTTACTCTGGCTATACTGGCTATACTTTCGCTATTCAGGGAGTCTCTTCAGAGGCACAAGGTTTTCTCCTTTAAAAGAATGGATGCGTTACCTTGTTTCCTTTACCCTACCCCTGGAAAGGAACACGAGCCATATGGACATGCTCCATTTCACCTCTATTCTTCCAATAGCTTGGTAGTATGGTTTGTCTAAGATGCCTTCTCGCCCCTCCTTTCTGGGTTGAATGCAACTATTCTTAAAACTTATATTAGTTCTTTCTTATAGCTGCAATGTGATCGAATTCACAGGACACAAATATCTTCCTATTTCTCTGAACAGATTTAACTAGTGACATGTTTCTCAAAGATAGTCACCAATATCTAATACAATTAATGGAAACGCTTAATCAATAAGAACACAAGTGAATGGCTTAAGGCTGTCAAGTGACTTTGGTGTACAATATACATTTCTTTCATTTCATATACACTTAGAATGATAAGAAACTAACAAAACATTATGTGATTTCCAAGTTGACAGGGTAACATAACACCCAAGTTAAGCTTCATTTAAGCAACCAAAGATAACATGACACAGTGAGTAAAAAGCTGCTCAGTCTGATTGTCACAGTTAGTAGTTACACTAAGTCCTTCACAATCAGCAACAAAAACTGAATCTAGGGGAAGAAAAGCAGTTTTTATTCAAAGGGACTGACTGAACTGTATCTTGCTTGTGACTAGCAATATGACTAAGGCTGAGACTGGCATTAGCATCTTCCATGCCTGAAGATTCTGATTCGTCGGATTTGGGAGAAGAGCCTAAGCATTTGCACTTCTAAAAGCCTCTCATGTGATTTTAATGTAGCCCCAGGTGAGAACCATTGCATCACAGAAATTTCAGCTGGAAATGTGTCTGGCAGATAGTTTATCCACTATGGCCAATGCAAGAACTGCAAAAGGAAAACAGGACTACAAGGTTGCACTTGTGCAGAGCCGTCTCTAATCCAATCATGTTCAAGCCTTGGATTTAATCAGGACTCACACATATGTCCAAGGAAAGAGATTCATATTAGCCTATGTAATAAAGTAACCAGCCTCTTGGTCTCACCAGATGGAGGCGGCTTCTGCTCAGTCCTGGGGTTGTCTACCTGGAGCTGTTTTAATGATGTTTAATGATGCTCTGTCAGGGAGTCTTCCTTAAAATTTTAGGAAAACAGAAAGTCATTAAGTTACACACCTATACTTTTGTAATACTAAATCAAAATATGAGGAAAAGGGAAGAGGAAAGAACAACCCAAAAGACTGAGGTTACTTCATCAACTGCATAACAGGAAGCTACTTCAAAGCAGATGCCAGATGACCAGTCTGGGAAATCTGGAATCTCTGAGTCTTATTCTTTAGATGAATAGGTCATTACCTTATATCTTCTTCTATCTTTGCCTGAGCTTCAAGGTCAAAGGGGTCAGCAGAAAAGAGACGAATCCTTTCTTGCTCTCTCCGGGCTCGGTCCTGCTGCTGCTCCACCAGGACTCTGGTAAATTTCTCTACAAAAGTAAGGGAGAAAAATCTTAAGTACCACTATATTTTCATTGTTTAGCAATACTTTTCCACATCAAACAACTTCTCAAAATACAACTATAAGAGATGAGGAGAGGAAGAGAAATGATATTTGCCTTCTATTCTCTGAGGCAAGACTATTTCATTTAAATTCAGTGTAAAAAAAGAATTTGCAAAAATCTTTTATTCTCATATCATATTGTTTCTACTCAGAGATAAGGACTTTCCAATTTAAATCAGTGGGGAATGACTATCCATGTGGCAGATAAAATGTCCGTACTTTTCCCCTCCCACTTCCCTCATTATCCTATTACCTAGAAACAAAACAGAGCACTATATAATCCTCCCCCTTTCTCCTTCTAGTTTTGATTCCTTTATATAAACACCCTCTGCCTTAAGCCAGATAAATTAAGTGTAAACTACTGTTAGCCTACCTATAATATTTTGTTTGTCCTGATGGATAATAAGCAGGAAAATTAACAAAGAAAACACTGCTTGCTACAAGATGTTACAAGAATCTATTTTGCTATTTCTTAAATAGTGGTGCATTTAAATGTGTAAAATTAAATGTGCCATCACCATGGTCTTTGGCAATTAGATATGCTGACATAAGAAATTAAAGAAACCATGATAATGGTCATATGAACTACTGATATGCACATGAATGGATCTAAAAAACATTAAGTTGAGTTAAAGAGGCCTGACACATTAAAATACATACTCTCCGATTCTATATAAATGAAGTTCAAAAATAAGCAAAACTATCCCATGATTATCAAAATAGTCTACACCGGGAGAAAACTGACTACAAGGGAACACAATGGAACTTTCTCGAGTGAGAGAATTGTCCTGTATCTTGACTGGGGTCACACGAGTTTTTCGAAACTCACTGAATCACATACTTAAAATCTGTGCACTTCTCTGTAAGGCAAATATTGCCTCAATTTTAAAAATGGTCAATTAAAGAATGTGTTATTAAGTGTTCATTATGTTTTAAATTTTAACCTAATTTAACTTATAAACCCAAGAGTAAAATGAGAGGAATTTACACAGAAAAGTATTTCTAAAGATTACTAAATGTTCTGGGCTAGGCGCAGTGGCTCACGCCTGTAATCCTAGCACTCTAGGAGGCTGAAGCAGGTGGATCGCTCAAGGTCAGGAGTTCGAGACCAGCCTGAGCAAGAGCGAGACCCCATCTCAACTAAAAATAGAAAGAAATTGGCCAAACAACTAAAAACAGAAAAAATTAGCCGGGCATGGTGGCGTGTGCCTGTAGTCCCAGCTACCTGGGAGGAGGAGGCAGGAGGATCGCTTGAGCCCAGGAGTTTGAGGTTGCTGTGAGCTAGGATGACGCCACGGCACTCTAGCTGAGGCAACAGAGTGAGACTGTGCCTCAAAAAAAAAAAAAATTTCAGCCAGGATGAGCTGGCTTGTTGGTGTTCTCCTTAATTGAAAATCTAGGCCGGGCGCGGTGGCTCACGCTTGTAATCCTAGCTCTCTGGGAGGCCAAAGTGGGCGGATTGTTTGAGTTCAGGAGTTCGAAACCAGCCTGAGCAAGAGCGAGACCCCGTCTCTACTAAAATTAGAAAGAAATTAATTGGACAACTAAAAATATACAGAAAAAAAAAAAAATTAGCCAGGCATGGTGGCGCATGCCTGTAGTCCCAGCTACTCGGGAGGCTGAGGCAGGAGGATCGCTTGAGCTCAGGAGTTTGAGGTTGCTGTGAACTAGGATGACGCCACGGCACTCTAGCCCGGGCAACACAGTGAGACTCTGTCTCAAAAAAACAAACAAAAAAAGAAAATCTAACTAAAACAAGTCAAAATATCAGTACCTGGGTTATATGCTGCTAAAAACAGTGAGAAAAAAACATAAACTGAGGGGGCTGGTCTAGATGGATTTCAGTCCTAAAATCCTGTCACTATGATAAGTTAACTCAGTCTTGGTCTTTGGTGCTAATTTACCTCTCACAAACAGCTGACTGGCGTGTTTAGTAAATCATGTGACAGTGGGTCGAACGCACCAGCTACTTGAGGCTCTTCCCATTTGCTGGGATACAACTGCTGCAACTCAGGCCAGCTTGGCAGCCCTCCAAATGTATAAGCTTACCAAGGTCTCCACTGAGCAGAGCTTCAGCCAGGGGTGGATTGCGTTCCTTCAGCAAGGACAGCTCATGTGGGTTGGATAACAACATGTCTCGGAGCAAGGCCGGATTGTCCAAACCCTGAGGAGATGAAGCTATTTCTCCAGGAGATGAGTGGGACTGCTGTGCTGCTGGTGGCTGGCGCTGCCGGGGGCTTGACGTGCCAGGCACAGCTATACTACTGAAATCTATTCGGGGTAAGTCTGTTGGGGAAAATCAATTCAAAGTTTACTCGAATGACTCCATAAAAACAAGCATCTGAAGGCAACAGCAGAACACTTGCTCATACATGGTATGGAACAGCAGCAAATGGCAACTGTAGACACGAATGCCTTTTCTCTTGCTCTTTCGCACACTGACTCTCAATGTAAAGACTATAGTCTGAGAGTGAATTGATAGGAAAGAAGGGGGCACAGGCAAGGGTATAACCCCAAATTTTTGGCTTATAGAATATCCCAGAACAGACACCAAATTTTTATTTATGTTTTAAAAAAAATTAAAGCTAGTCTCAATAAATATAATTGTATAATTCTGGATGTGGTTCTTGAGGAAAATGCTAGTTTGGTTTGACATATGCTTCAAAGAGCCCTGACACTTGGGGTAAAGAATACTATACGTATCAAGAAAACGGCATAAATGTCAGATGTTAAATTCTGCAAGTCTGTGCTAAACATATTGGCTTAGGGAGGTTCTTAGTATTGTAAAAATCTGCACTTTCATCTGTGCAACACTGCTAACTTTTTCATGCCCCTGCAGAGCTAAGTGGTGTAACCAATTTAGGGGAGAGAAAGAAGAAAAGGGACTTGCGTAGGTTCTCAGTGTTGAGTACACCAAAGCCATCACAGGTCGAGAGGCTACAACTTCTATGCTCCAGGGTGAGCTAACCTTATTAAAATGAAAGGAAAGCCAGGCATAGCGGTGTGTGCCTCTAATCCCAGCTACTCAGGAGTTGGAGAAGGGAGGATTGCTTGAGCCCAGGAGTTCAAATCCAGCCTGGGCAACATAGTGAGACCCCATCTCTAAAAAAATTTAAAAACAAAATGAAAGGAAAATAAAATAAAAGGGAGTTTTAATCCTTGCACAAAGGACTCACATAGAGAATGACTCCATTTCTATGAAATGCCCCAACTAGGTAAATACATAGCGACAGAAAGTAGACTGTGGTTGCCTCAGGCTGGGGAGCTTGGGGAGAAAAGGGGAATCACTGCTGTGGATACAGGGTTCCTTTTTTAAGGTGAAGAAAATATGCTGAAATTGGCCGGGCGCGGTGGTTCACGCCTGTAATCCTAGCACTCTGGGAGGCCGAGGTGGGCGGATTATTTGAGCTCAGGAGTTCGAGACCAGCCTGAGTAAGAGCGAGACCCCGTCTCTACCAAAAATAGAAAGAAATTAATTGGACAGCTAAAAATATATAGAAAAAAATTAGCCGGGCATGGTGGCGCATGCCTGTAGTCCCAGCTACTTGGGAGGCTGAGGCAGGAGAATCGCTTGAGCCCAGGAGTCTGAGGTTGCTGTGAGCTAGGCTGACGCCATGGCACTCACTCTAGCCCAGGTAACAGAGTGAGACTCTGTCTCAAAAAAAAAAAAAAAAAATGCTGAAATTGATTGTGGTGATGGTTGCACAGCTCTATGAATATAGTAAAAACCATTGAAATGTACCTTTTAAATGCGTGAACTGTGTGGTATGTGAATTTTATCTTAATAAAGCTGTTACTTAAAAAAAGAAAAAGTAAACAAGTAAAGCCACAGTGAGAGGCTAAGGCTGAGTGAATCCACATTTCTTTAAGCCCCCAAAATGTATCTGACAGCCGAACTTTGTCCCAAGTATGGGACTATCCTGAAGCCTTTTAGACCTCAAATAGAAAAAGGGAATGCTTCATTCAACTCAGGCATAAGGTTTCTGCCCTTTAGCACAGGTTCGACTAGCCACTTTCTTCAAATAGACTTCAGCTGTCAGAGGGGGGGGGGAGGGAGAGAGGGAGAGAGGGAGTGTGTGTGTGAGAGAGAGAGATAGAGACTGAGAAAGTGAGAGAGTGAGAAAAAGAGAGGGAGAGAGAGTGTTAACTCCCAACCAATGACAAGGTAACGTGAATAGCATGATTTCTGTGAGGCAGTTAATCTATACCAGCTAGCAAAACACATATGGGCAGGCCTTCTTTGCAGGCCAAGAAATTTTATCTCTACCACCGCTACACATTATCTTGAGAGTCCATTCACTTAAAATAATTTTGAAAAACATGTTTACTTTATGGACCAGATCCCTTCTATCTGCAACCTATTGGCTCTTTTGTCCACATGAGACACTGCAGGAACAAAATGGTGAAGCTCCAGAACTTTCAATCTCACCAAGTTAACCAAAGGAAGATGTGGTTTTTATTGACTGGTATATTTGAACAACTACTCTTTATAAAGTTTAGCAGTAGCCCCAAGGGACTAATGTAATCCAGATCTGGTGGAGCCAGTGCTTGCTGGTCCCATACAGCTCCAGTTCCAGGCTGAATGAAAGCACTGTGCTCAAAGGTGGAGTCGGTCATCACCCAGACTGCTATCATCTGTTAGCATAAACTTTAAAACCAGGTGACCTAGAGGCTAAGTACATTTAAAGAAATCTGCCAGAATATGTCAGGGAATGGAAAAAACTAACACATTTCACCAAGCAGCTCCATATCAGGACCTTTTTGTGGATCATGAGCCGCTCTGAGTGTCTGAAGACAGCTATGGCCCCTTACCCCACCAAACGCACACACATTCACACCCACACAATTCTGCATATTATTTCAGTGACACAGTAAGCTCCTAAATCCCAATGCACAGATTCCAGACTATAAAGACCTATTCTGGATAGAGCATCCAAGATAGCTAACAGTTTCTTTTCACGTGATTAACATAGCTGGTGGGAAAAACCACAACTTGGTGGCCTAGCTACTTAATGTTCATCAAGTTTAAGATCACGGAAAAAGCTCAAAGTTTTAATTCCTGTGTCTTCACTTACTAGCAATGTAACTGTGAAGACACCATTTAAAATCTAAGTTTCATCTGTTAATGATAAATAACTGTAAAGACGGATCTCTTCCCCCACAACCAGCTTGAGATCATGTGAAATGTGGGTGCAAGTGCCTAGCTGACTATGAAATGCTTCACAAAGAAACTGAAAGCCAGACACAAAGTAGCAAAAGTCAGTTAGAAATCATAGGCGTATGTAGTCTCTCAAGTCCTTCACAAGGATAAAGATTATTGTGTAATATCACTGATAACAGAAGCTAACATTTATTGAGGGCTTGCTATGTGCTGAAGGTTTTACGTGCATTCTTCTCATGTCAACTCTAGGAGTTGGGATTCATCATGGCTCCTATCTTAAAGAAGAAGAAACCGATTTAGAGACATTACATAACGTGCCCAAAGTTACACAGTAGGCAAGAGGCAGAGTCAGGATCTGTATCCTAGTAGTCTGAATCCAAAACAAACCCAAAACTGAACCACTATGTTCTGCTACCTATTGATGCTTGTATTAGAGGATGCTAAACCACTAAAAGATGTCTTACTTGAGAACTGCACTGGAGGTCGAGGGTCTGCATTCTCCTTCTGTCGTAAAATCACAACATCTCCATCTTTCAAACCGTAAGAAGCCAGGGATCTGTGGTTGTCTGTGAGAGGCCTTTCAGCATAAACAATCTACAAGAAGAAAAGATATATAACAGTATAAAGCACTGAGAAGCAACATGGTATACAAAGCAGAAAAGACCAGTTTTCCACTTATCGGATAATATAATTCCCTGTTCAAAACACTCCAGTGTTTTTGTTTTTTTTTTTCTGGAGACAGAGTCTCACTCTGTTGCCTGGGCTGGAGTGCTGTGGTGTTAGCCTAGCTCATAGCAACCTCAAACTCCTAGGCTCAAGCAATCCTCCTGCCTCAGCCTCCCTAGTAGCTGGCAACAGGTGTGTGCCACCACGCCTGGCTAATTTTTTTCTATTTTTAGTAGACGGGGTCTAGCTCTTGCTCAGGCTGGTCTTGAACTCCTGACCTCAAGAGATCCTCCTGCCTTGGCCTCCCAGAGTGCTAGGATTACAGGCGTGAGCCACCGTGCCCAGCCCTCCAATGGGTTTTGAACACACCTAGAATAAAACCCAAATCCGTCCCATCACCTACCAGGCCCCCAAAATTTGGCCCCCTGGCTCGCCTTCTGACCTCACCTGGCATGTCTGTTGTTCCTCAAATAACGGGGATCAACCTGCCCCTCAGGGCTGTTTCACTTGTTCTTGTCTCCACCTAAGGAATGTTCTTTCTCTAGTAATTTTTTGAGGTCTCTGATCAAACATTACCTCTTCAGAGCTTTTCCCTAATATCCTATTTAAAATATACTCTCACCTAACATACTATATATATTTGTTTATTGTCTTTCTGCCCCACCAAATGTAAGCCACTTGAGGACAGGGACTCTTTGTTTCATTTACCATAACAGGGCCTGTTATATAACTGATGTTCAAATATTTGTTGAATTAAAGGATGAATTTATGAAAGTAGTGGATATAATTATAGATTTAATTTTGAGCAGGGAGGGAAAGGAATAATCTATTCTGGGTATGCTAACCACAGTACCATTAAATAATGTGTACTTTTAAATGATATTGTACATTGACAGGTTTAAAAGGTTCCCAAATGTCAGCTCTTCCTGCATTCTTACTTCTGTTCTACCCTCTTCAAAGTTTTACCACTCTTACGCTTATGAGTGGAAAATAAAAGTGAAAGAAATTCAGAAAAAAACAATTAAACACAGATGGAAAAAAGATCAGGGATGTACTACATAAAAATGTGTTGTGGAAAGAAAAGAAAGGAACACACAAAGGCCTACTGTAATTTTATCATGAAGGAACATAAAACCTGCCCTGCATGATTATACACTCCAGAAGGCATTCAGAATAAACTCAGGCTTTGAAAGGTTTTCTTCCTAGTGATTCACTTTTCACCAGGCCACATGCAAACTGAGGAACTTGAGTTCTGTGCTGGCTCTGCCAGTAACTCCAGAGAGGGGAATGCCACTCAGCGGGTCCAGGCCACCCTTCCCATTTGTCAAGCAAGCAGTTGGGGCTAGATCATCACTACAGCTGTCCCTTCCAGTTCTTTCTGCTACACCATCATTCTATAATGTTTCCTCACAGCTCTCATGGTAAGGTTAACTGGCACAGAACTGAAAATGTAGCACTTAAACAGGAAAAAAGTGATTATCCTATCTGCTCTCAGAATTTATACTGACATGAGGAATAGAACTAACAGGAAACTGAATCTAGTTCCCTCCAAAATGGAACCCTTTTGGAGCTGAGCAAAAAACTGTAGGTTCAAATACACTTTACAAGTTTTATACACGACTAGAAAAAGTATAACAGGCTCTTAACCCCAACTTGCAGAGTTAAAATACATTCCAACAAGGCCGGGCGCGGTGGCTCATGCCTGTAATCCTAGCACTCTGGGAGGCCAAGGCGGGCAGATCATTTGAGCTCAGGAGTTCGCGACCAGCCTGAGCAAGAGCAAGACCCCGTCTCTACTAAAAAAAAAATAGAAATTAGCTGGACAACTAAAAATATACAGAAAATATTAGCCGGGCATGGTGGCGCATGCCTGTAGTCCCAGCTACTCAGGAGGCTGAGGCAGAAGGATTGCTTGAGCCCAGGAGTTTGAGGTTGCTGTGAGCTAGGCTGACGCCACGGCACTCTAGCCTGGGCAACAGAGTGAGACTCTGCCTCAAAAAAAGAAAATAGCAGTCAGCTATCACTGAACAAGCTTCTACTAAGAGCCAGCAACCTACTAGATTCTCTCAGTCTCCCACTTAACCCTCACATCCTCTCATTTAAGTCTCACAACCATTTTATGAGGTAGCCATTATTTGTCCCATTTTATGGACAGGGAAACAGATACAGAGAGTTAAGTGACCTGAGGCCACATAGCTATTAAAAAGAGAGAACTGTGACTAGAACCACATCTGACTGACTGTAAAGTCCATACTCTTCTCTAGTACCTTATATTAACACATCTTTCCCAAACATAACCCCAAAGTGGCCTGGTGAATTAGCCTGGTGACTTTAATAAAAGCCACTAAGGGCCTTATACCCACCATGAGGATCAAAATACCGTCCATAGCTTAATGTATCCCCTTGCTCCGAAAACAAAGAAAGGAACACTACCACCTCCTCACTCTCTGGACTCCCATTTTACAGATGATACTCATGTTCAGTTGGAAGATCACACAGATTTACTTTGGGACTTATATTGCAAAATCATTCTTTCTTGGACTCTTAAGCCCATTTTAACAAAGAAATCAGTTCTTTGTGGCAATTATAATTGTAACTAAGCTTTAGCTGATCTCATTTGTGTCCTTAGACTAAAATGGAGCACAGCTGCTGCTTTGTCAGTGTGAAGAACATTTGCTCCTCACCCAAGTTCTTCAGTAGTAGTTCCAGGAAATTGGGGCAGATAGCAATATTCCATATTTCACCTACATGCTTGATATTAGTGATTATCTGGGTCGCACACTTTTATTGTTAGATCATGCTGCCTGTCTTTATATAAATGATATTGTCTGCTGAGGAAATACTGTGGCAGCTATTGTGATGGAAACTATTGTGATGGAATGACATATATAGCTACAGGTCTTAATGGGCAGAACTGGCAGAACTGCTAGTACTTACACCAGAGGAGGACCCTAGAGACTGAATTCTAATCTTAATCAACATTTAACAATAAACTAATTAATAAAAATCTAAAATATTTAAGCCTGAGGTCAAATGTTTTCTGGTCTCTGAATGAGAGCCTTCTATTAACAGAAATCTTAGCAATACATTTCTAGCATTAAGGACCCATAAACTGGCCACAAAACCTTTGGAACCACATGTGAATGGCTTTGTAATAACACTACCATTAACTGAGTGCTCACTATAAGCCAAGTTATCTACACATGCCATCCCATGTAATGGCCAACTTGACTTTTACAACCCTTCTGGAAGGCGATTTGGCAAGGATTACTAAAAGCCTTTCAAAAAGTTTATGCCTTTGACCCGGCAATTCCATATCTTTAAGAATTTAACCTGAGAAAATAATCAGAAAGGGAGGAAAAAGCCTTAAGTATATAAATGCCCATGGTAATGTTACTCACAGCTGTTTCCAATTTCCCCCAATATTATGCCCAACAGGGAAACTGTTAAATAAATTACAGTACATCTATATGGTAGTATATTATACAGCCATTAAAAATTATACATTTGAAGAATCTGAAGTGTTATGGGAAAATGCTAAAATTGTAGCAGCGACTGAAGAAAGATAATTTCCTTTCACATAAATTTCATATAAACAATTTCATGTTTATATAGTTCAGGCCCCATCATGTTTAAAAGACATATCAACTATAAAAAGGAAAAGATACATTAAAAAGTAAGCCACAGTTTTCTCTAGGTTATGAGGTAATAAGTGTGCTCCTCTTTATTCTTTTCTATGTATCACCCATTTTCTATAAAGAATATGTAGTATTCATCAGAAAAAAATACATGAAAATTACCTGCAAAAATAAACATGCCAAAACCAGCTACAATACGAAATTTCAGTTTCCACTGGTTTAAAATAGTGTTTTACAAACCACAGACCACGTCATGTACAGAGCTGCGTTTCCAGGATCATACGGTTACTGCTATTCACTGGCATTTAAACATGCCTTTCATTTGAGGGCCCTTCCACATTCTGCACACTTTTTACCACATGCTACCTACAAAAGTAAATTATAACGATGTTTCAAAAATAGGAAGACATTAGTTTAAATTGAAGCTAGGTTCTGATCACTGAAGTTAACCCAGACAAGTCTGCATCAAAGCATCAGAGTCACGACTGGTTTCCAGACCCACACTTTTATTAAGAGATGCAACATGCCCGACCGTTATCACATGCAGAGATGATTTCTATTCTAAATTCTTTATCACTTCATTATAACTACTATTATCAGACTTGAGCTGTTAAAAATTAACATTTTCCAAGTGTATGCCTATGCACAATTGTCACTCATGTGGAAAACTAAATTCCAAACCAGTGATATCCAAGGTGGGGCAGGCATGCAAGACAGTTCTTTAAGGGTATGGGAAAAAACCAGAAAATATTAGAGTTTTTATTTCCATTTATTTTACTTCAACTTTCCTGAAATTCTGTTTTGTGTTTGTTTATAATGT